TGCTGCTCAAATTGTCCTGCTAAGGAAAGAGGTAGAAAAGGAGACTGCATGCTTCCTATCATATTTCATTTAGCATAGGGACCTCACCATGTTGCTATCTGGTGCTTAAGAGCTATAGGAAATCCCACAATCCTTTGCAGGATTAGGCATGTAGGCACAGACCACCTCATGAATTCACAAAAAAACCTTATTGCTTCATGTGACACATGCAAATGGACGCACCTCATATATTATAGTAATGAGGGCTTCAGCTGTTCACTACATTTATGTAATGTGAGATTTTTCAAGTCTTTTTTTCTGAAGGCTACAGTCCCGGTTTTGACCAGCATCATCCTTGTGTGTTTCCGTGGAATAGCCACAACTGAAAGGCTTCCTGTCTTCCCCACAGTCTTGTTCTTACTATATGGACGGTGAAGGAAGAGGAGCTAAGAGGATTATTTGAGACTAAAGCCTGAAATTTCTATTCTTCTTCTTTGCAAAATAGCTGAAGCTCAGTCAGACCTCAGAGACTCTGCGAATATCAATTATTTTGGCTTCTCACTGAGTTGCAGCTGGGTTTTGTTCTGGACTTTGATTGGTTCCTTCTAACAAATCAATTTGATTAGATTAAAACCAGTTGTATCCAACTTCAGTCTTTGAGGGCTGGTGTCCTACATGTCTTAGGGTTTCCCCTCCTTCAGCACACCTGACCTCACCTCCCTGACAGCTGATTAAAAAGCTTTTTCTAGAGTGGAGTCTAAATCTGGTGTTTTAATCCAGGGAAAAATCTGAAACATGCAGGAAACCGACACATAACAACTAAATTCATCTCTGTCAATCTTTTTATTTGATAATCAGCATCCATTTTTCTCCATGTTTGCTGGGCTCACCACATGTTTTTTGCCTTTAACATTTCTTGAACAAACTTTTCTGTTGTGTTCCTTTGTCCTTGTGATGCTTTTTGTCTAAACAAATCTAATGATGGTGCCACAGAACAGCTTTATTCAAAGTAAATTTAAATTGGGCATCATTTATTCATGAGTTAATTTCAGAAGGTAACGTTGCTCTGGATTCTTTTAAGGGTATCAAAGTAGAGGAGGGTCATTTGTATTTTTAAAATTGTTATAAATCTATGCATCATTTTAAATTATGCTTGACAGTTATGCAGTTGTTACAATCATGAAATGTTTAATGTCATTATAAGACCATTATTAAATCTTGTCGATATGTCCGGAAGGGAGCACATCTAAGTCTCTGAAAAGAAAAATGCTGTGCACTATTTATAATAACAGTGTGATTAAAAAAAAGAAAGGCTAAACAGTTTTAGCAGGAAAACAGTGGGTTAAATAAGTGTGAAAATGACAAGCTTTTTCTCAATAAATACATTTTTGATATTTCTATTCACATGGAATTATCACCAGATCCTGACAACTCTTGTAACACTTCAGAAAAATACATGATTAGTCAAAGAATGAAGGGATTAAGAAAGGGACTGTTTCTGTCAAAGTTCTTCTAGATATTAGATAAATATTTAAGGATGATACCTCATATATTTCTTATTTCACGTAACTAGCAGAAGTTAGAGTTAGGACCGCATGTGCTGTAAAAGCACAGACCATTAAAACATCAGGAAATGTGCAAAACAAAACATTTAGATTCTACAAGCTTTCTAACATTGCTTAACTAGAGTTCAGCTGTGACCTCGCCTGAGCAGAATACTGTATATCCACTTATCTAAACCATGTTAGGTAAAATTTAAACAATGTTTAACTTGCTGTTTCTTGAACAGTGAGACTAACAAGGTGTTTTTCTAGTAATTGTCTGTTCTTTCTAGGTCTCTCTGATTCTTCTATTGACTCCTATCAAATATCTTTGGAAATGTTCTTCCCACTTTTTTTATTTCGTCTTCAGTTTTGCTCCTAAAATTAAAAAATCAACTGTAATAATTGCCATTAACATGCTTTATCACAGCAACAATCAGTATTAAACCTGCTACCAGAAGCACATTCTTATTTTCATGAGCTCTGCATAATTCCTCTTTTTCACACATCATTTGTTTTAATGTATTTGCAGGGTTTATACATGAATGAGTAACTCTTATTTAATGATTTTTAATGCTCTTTTAATGCTGTTAGAAATAATCTTAATGCCATCAACAAATACCCATGACTTTATATATAATATATATATTATATATATATATATANTATATATATATATATATATATATATATACGGCAAAATCCTTCACCATCTTCACCATGGACAGGCTGCAGCCATGTCCCGAGTTCCTCATTTTCCCGCCACTTTGGTTCAAATTTACATTTTCCCCATTCTCTAGCCTTTTCCCCGCCTCAAGCTTCTTTTCCGAAGCATTTTAATGTCACGATTATCAAATTTAATGAATTTTAATGCCAAATTTAATGACTTAATGATTTTTAATGACCCCCAGAAACCCTGATTTGTGTCTAACTGATGAATTTCTTGATTAGAATTCCAAAAACCTAAGAAAATATAAGAGTAAAACTTTGACAAATTTAATATTTATTTCAGTGGATGTACGTTTAGAAGCACAATGCTCATTGCCTAACAATGCAAAAATGACAGAATTGGTGTGTTACAGTAGTTGGTCCCTAAAATAACCATTTCTTTGCCTTTTGTTACATTATTAGTGAGCTATGGGGGGACTGTCTTTATTTCGAAAAAGATAGTTTTTCCAAATAAAAGAAAGTCAGAAAACCAAGTTTACTTTTTTATTATTTTAATCCACTGAATTGAACACAGAGAAGGTCAAATGCTGACAGGACCGATGGTTCCATCCAAACTCTGGTACATCCAAGTAAAATAAAACAAGCAAACATGAGCAAGAGCATCACAGTTGGTGGAAAAGGGCAAACAGTGCTTAACATTACATCTAGATAACCATCTCCAAGGAACTTCCCAAATGTATATCACTTCACAGTATAGCTTTGCATACAAAAACCTACACTTAACAAGGCAATGAAGAGAAATAGTCTAGCGTTCTGCTGAGGAGCTGTGTGTGGCCATGAACACTGTTATTAGCTTAAGTGAATCTGGTGTTTGCGAAGTTGTGTAGATAGGAAGGTAAAGGGACAATATACAGCATCATTAAACGTCTTTCACAACACCAACACCGAGAAAAGAGGACATCATCAGCACGCTGTGAGGGACTTCATATACACACACTGAAGATTTTTCCATCAGGTCTCCCCAAAAAAACAAACATCTTTCCACTTCTTTAAAGAGCCTTCATAGATACAGTGTGCTATTAATATCTTACATAACAGGCAGGCAACACGTTTCTTTAAAACGTACAAATATATCTAGTACAAAGTTGCAATCTCACATACACGTTAACTATTTTTTGGATTGTTTTAGGTGCAAATACAAAGAAACTGGGTGACTGGTTGGCTCTACCCCGGCTGCTAAACATACAGAGCTTAGACGACCGCTGCACGGATGTGGACATCATACGCTGGTAAACAGCAAAAAGGTCAGAAAGCACCGGGTGCAGAGAGGTCGTTGGCAAAAACCTCCAATCAAACTTCTATTTAGGGTCAATCTGTTTCCTGAACAACAAACATTTGAGGATTGGATGCTGGTTGCCCTGACGACCCTCCAGGAAAAAAAAAAAAAAAAAGACCTAAAGCCATGAGGGGAATAAAAAAAAAAACTCAACGCAATGCGGGGCAAAAGTTCATATTTCTTCACGAGATGTCATGAGCCGCCCAGGACGTTGAGTAGCAGGATCCCCAAATACCCTCTCTCTCCCTTTTAGTGCAGTTAACGTTTCACGACATAAACCATCTATTTAAGAAAATAAATAAATAAAAGAGGAAAGTGCAACCATTACAAAACAAGAATATTACAGCACCAACAAAACAAAAAAAAAAACATCAAATACTGCAGGCTTAAAAAAAAATTTTTTTATAAAAAGGTAAAAAAAAAAATAATGGCAGCAGAGGACATCCTGCCGATGAATCATTATAGGTGTGACAGCAGCGAGCATGAGCGTTACCGGCTAAAGGTTTTCATCATAACCTTCCTAAGCAATAAAAAAGTTCTTTTAATGAAATATCAGAAAAAGTGCCGGAGTCATTAGTCTGTTATTTTATAAAGGGCCCCTCCCACACCTGTTGCTGCACACTGCTAGTCAGTTGAAAAGAAAAAAGGCTACATGTTTTTCCTCATTTACAGGTAAAGCAAAATTCGCTGTTTTCTCATATTCCCATTAGTGAAACTATGGACTATAGCGGTCTGTAAACTTAAGGGCGTGTAACTCATTTTAAAACTACAGTAGCTCTAAGTAGCGTGACAGTTTGGAGCAGAAATTTATGATTTTAAAATTTGTTTTAGGATTTGATATTTTAGCTCTATTATTTAGCAATTAATTGTATTGCATTTATATTAATATCTTGGAGGTGAAGTTTAATGTTTGGTTATTTTAACAAAAAAACAACTGACCAGTTAATGGCTCTGAAATAAGGCCTATATAATGTAACTAATAACATAAAAAGAAACAAATATGGATTTGATCAGAATTAGAACATGTTCTAGTGACATAGCAGGTATTCATAATAGATTTTATTAGTTTGGTGATTTCTTCGCAACGTCAAAAAAACAACAACAAATGGTTGGAGGAATTGATTGCTTTCTGGATCTTTAAAGTTTTCATGTTTCCATCATTAATCTGGATATACCTGTACTTTTTAGCCCGGAGTGATTCTGTCCTTAGAACATTCAATTATCAGCTATAAGAGAAAAACAAAACTGAACTTTATTTGTCGTTAGAATATCATAAAACTGCCTCTCCTGAGTAGTTTTAATCCATCGCTCTGATCTATTCTTTAAAATGTAGAGCAGAGGTTATAAAAGCAATGTAAACAACTAAATAAATCAACAAGTAAATCAAACTTGTTCCTAAACTCATCTGATCCTACCTCGGTACAGGAATGTATGCTCGGGGAGGTGACACAACATGAAATAGTGCTTTTTTTTTCCAATAATGAGGTGACTTTGTGGTGTAAGACGGTCAGAAGTAGTGCAGGGGAGCCAGAAGTGATAGAAAACGGGTGTGATGTTGGTAATTGTGGCCTCTGGGTCCCATGTTCCTTCTGAGGCTAAGTCGAGGAAAAGCAGCTTAGCCGAGGCTGGTGATGTTTGCCTTTCCACCAGGGGGCGCCACAATACGTTGAGTTGTGCGACGCGGAACGTTGTCATCAATCTGGGCGCCTTAAGACATAAAGAAACATGTAATTAGAAGTTTGCAGACTGCTTTTGGTGAGATTCAGCAGCTGTGAAGGAGAAATATTCCTGCAAGAACTGACCGGAGAGGCTGAAGCCAGACTGGTGGAGGTTGCGCACCGGCTGATGAGGGAACTGCTGTTGCTGCTGCTGCTTAGCAGGGGAGGTCTTCATCGAGGAAACTAGGGACATTACTTTTGGAGTCACGGTTACTTCACATACTGGCCCATCATACTGGCCCCTGGGGACTCCTCGCAGCTCTGTGAGCTAGACAAGACGGATAATGTCTTCAGTGAACATGTTCTACAAAGTTCAAATTCACTGCATTGGTAAGAAAGAGCCCTTAATGTTGGGCTTTTAATGATTTATTTGAGCTGTTCTTTTTAGTTAATTATAATACATACAACTTTGATGACTTATGAGAAAAAAAAACATGTTTGATGCCGAGTTAAAACTATAAATACAAACATTTACATACACTTCTGCTAATGTTTCCAGCACCTCTCTGACAGACGAAGAAGCTTGTGGCATTCTCATTTAAATCTCCTCCTTACACTTTAAGCATGGCCCAAAAATATGGTTGAGATTTAGGCCATTTCTAAGCTTAATGTTGTAATGGGTTTAATGGTGTAATATGGTAGGTGTTTGGGGGTATTCTGTTACTAGAACATTTGGTTGGATTTCATTTTTAACCATTTGACCTCCTGTGAGGCCCGAAAAATGGTTGAATTTTCAAAAACAACCCAGGAGACACTAAAGGGCAGATTAGACTTCTGCAACTGCACACATCAAATGTCGCTTGGGTCTGGTCGCGAACCAGTTCTGCTGGTATCCTTCTGCACCGTCGGTCTGGAATTTTTAGGGACGCACTGCAGTTTCCCGCCAAAGCGCAGGGGGGAGCCTATTCAAGAACTCGCAAGAACTTCGGCGGATGGTCATGAGAACTTCGGTAGTGAGTGGGAGTGTTTATCTTCCAAAACAACAATGGCGCATCTGCAAGATATCACGTTCACGGAGATGGATCTAGAGTTGCAGGACATCGAAGAAAAACTGGTTCTGTTAATGGAGTTGGCAAAAAGAGCGATTGACCTTTCGACATAGTTGTCCATTGTATATGGACACCGCCACCGAATAGAGGACTATATATAAAAAAAGGGGAGAAAAATAAAAACAATTATGTTGTAAAATTATGCTGTAAATATAGTCTTATGTTTAAATTACTATTTTTTATGTATTTCTTACTGTTTTTCAAGGCTGCACTTAAAAAAATGAAATTGTCTAGAGCCTTTTTAAACAAAATTTCTTTTGGTATATAATCGTGTATACAAAATTACAAAATAAATCTGTTGAAGTCTAAGTACGACCACACAGACAGCCGGAAAGACATACGAAGGACCAATCACAGCTGCTTTTCATCTGTTCCGCTTAAGATCTGCACCTGTTTGCGACCATCCGACGCGTAGTCAGGATTTTATTTTGAGGTGCGCGATGACGGTTGCAGAACCTCTGTGCAGGGGACATCTTCGCGCACAGAGACAGATTTGACGGTTGCAGAGGCTATAAATTGGACTTCAGGCTACGTTCACACTGCAGGCAATTTTTTTATTTTTTATTTTTGGTAAATTCAGCTGGTTTTGCGTGTTCTTTCACAAATCCAAATATATATGACTCGAATTAACTGTGTTAACTGCATTCATACAACTTTAGTATCCCGTACATACACTAGAGAGAGCGTGCTCTGTGTTTATGGAGGTAACCACGGATGGTAGTGCTGAAAAGCATCTAGCGATCATTTATTTCTTTTCGAAGGGGAGTCAGCACATTAACAAAGCAATCTTTCCAAGATAATCAAAAAGAAAGATTGCTCTCTGCATTTCGTCCGCCATGTTTTTTTCTCTCCATGCATCTGCGATGCAAGATGGAGAATATGGATCTTGGTCTCATTCATCATTTAGTAGGGGTGTAAATAATAATCGTTTTGTATCAATGCATCGATCCAACAGCCGACGATCCGATGCATGTTTTTTTTCCTCGGGTCTATTTTTTTCCATTTGCTCCTGGGCGTAATTCTCCCTCCCGTGCTGCGGTGGCGCTAAACCTCCTGTCTGCGGCACTGTTTGCGGTCAGCTACAATTTGGTAGAGGAGCAGCAGAGAGTCTGTGGAGGGGGCGGGGACGTCTGGAGCCGAGGTATTTCATTGCACTCATTGCACTGATTTCGTGCAGTATTTTTTTGATGCAAGGCCTTTAAGAATCTATAACACAGGGGTATTATTATTTTTCAGTGAGGTTTTAATAGGCCTAGGTGGAGTACAACTTTTCTACTTCTGTTATTTGCTGTTGTTTCTCAAAAAAATGCAGAACGATATTACAGCTTTCATTGATTTATGTCAAATTTGAAACATTGTCTATCTAGCCTGTAAGGTGTATAAAAATAAATAAATAAATATATTTACCAATAAATCGAATCGAATCGTTTCGTGGTGTATTCTTGAGTATCGAAAATAATCGCTGGGTCAGGAAATCGATACTGAATCGAATCCCCATGATGGATGTGATTTACACCCCTAATAGAAAGACTCTCCTTTAACCCTAAAGTCAAACTGGACCAGTTCTACAAAATAAGGTTGCTTAGGGTTTTTACTACTTTACGTAGATCTCATTGTTTTGTGAATGAGAATTATTGTTGCCAGAGGCGCTCTCCTTCTACCCAACCAATTAAAACAATTTTTATTTTTTAAATTATCTGAAGTTGCAAAGTGTCAAAGATTCATTCTATATTTTTAAAATGCATTCCTAAAATCACTGTAACACTAATATAGTCCATAGATCTGAACTAGTTAAATTTCTGACCAACAGAAATAAAATGAAAGAATATTATGTGAGTAGATGGATGTTAAAGAAAACACACCCTGCTGCGAGCCTTTATCCTCTTGTATACGTGATCTGAGAAGGGTTTACGGCTGATGTAGCGTCCGCAGCCCTCCGTGGTGTGAAGGGTCCCCTCCTCCAACACAATCTTACCCTGGCTGATCACCACCACAGGGCCCCCGCGCACTTCTGTCCCCTCAAAGATATTATACTCAACAGCCTGTGACATAAATAGGTTTGATCAACAGAAAGTTTACACCTAATCAAACAAATACAGAAAAAAATTAATAAATCAAAAGCAGTGAAAAAAGATAATCAGGGCGATAAGAGTCAGACCAGGTTGTGGCTCTTTGCTGAGATGATCTTTGTTAGATCTGGGTCCCAAAGCACGAGGTCGGCATCGGAACCCACGGCGATGCGACCTTTGCGGGGGAACAGGTTGAAGATCTTGGCTGCGTTCGTGCTGGTTACTGCCACAAACTGGTTTTCATCCATCTTTCCAGTCACCTTTTAAAGATGCAGCAAATAAAACATGTCCGTTGCACAAACACAAGTTACACTTTTTTTTCTTGTAGTTTTGAACTGCTATACATATAGGTCCTACTTACCACACATTTGTCCCAGACAAGAGACATCCTCTCCTCGGTGCCATTGGTGCCTTCTGGAATCATGGAGAAATTATCTTTGCCTACTGCGCGCTGGGATGTATGGAACGTGCAGTGAGCACTACCAGTCACCTGCAGGTCCCCGCTGTAAATAAATAGACCATAACCATCTATTTGCCTCATTCCAATATGCCAGTGACGTTGCGCTATATGATAGGCTGAATGTTGCCACATGCCGTAAAACATTGTGGTTGCCCAGGTAACAATAATGACATAATACAGCATCTGTGTGCCGAGACAGGAGCATCTGTAGCATGAGCGCGTCTGATGATCAATAAAGTTTTACCTGATTGATAAAAAAACAGAAAAAATCTGTTTATGGTGAACAAAGTAACGGGGGAGAGCTGTGCAGCGCTGTGACTTGCTGTGCTCAGTAGCTAACAGGTTAGCCTGTTTTAGCTCGGTCAGTTAGCCATATTAAGCTACACAATTTTTAACTTTATGTCAACAACAACCGTTCTTTTTCTTCAAGTAGAATAACTTGTTTTCTTTATCTAAAATTGCTACGAAAGTCATTTTTTAAGATGTTCCATTTGTCCTCCCTTGCCCTCGGATCTTAATAAAAAGAATGAAAATAAGCTGAGTTATAAGCAGTGCTTTCCTTCAAGACTGAGAATTATTGTTTTCTATGTTCGGCTACTTTAGATCATGGATTAAATAGAAAATAATAGCAAATATGGGTAGTAATATGTATGGATTCCAAAAGAGATTTGCTTCTTAAGGAATGGGTGCAAAAGAGTTTGTCCGAGTGGTGTTGCCCTATGATGACGTCATAAGAAAGGGCAGGGCCCTGAGCAGATCTGAACACCTGAGCAGAACTGATACCTACAATGGTTTGAATTTGCCTCTCTGAAGAACAACTCTGCAAAGGATGAATCATAAATGTGGTAAACAGAGAGATTAGGAGTAAAAATGATATGGAGTAGTCCGCATGTTGCCTATGAGCTGCAGCTTTTTATCGGTAATGGCCTTTAGCACTTACCATGACAGCAGAGAGTTGAGGTAGTCAGGGGTGGTGGGATCAGGACTGAGCGGCGGAGAGGTGACAAAGGCTGCCGCTTTGGCCCAGTTCTTACTCCAGTAATGGGTTCCATCTGTCCCCAAGCTGGCGGATATGGGTTCTCCATAAACCACAGCACCTATAGGAGCAGACGGCGCGGTGTCAGAGCAAAGAAGCTGCAGAAAAAAGGTTGAGCCTTTGTTTTCTTTTTTTCTTTACCTTTCTTTCGAGCAAGAGCAATGACATCAGCTGCACTCTTGCTCATCACCTTGGTGATGTACAGGGGACAGTTGGTCTGATTGGCTATAGTGACCGAGCGGTTGACTGCCTCAGCCTCCACCTGTGGTTAATGACAGGAGCACGCAGAGGTCATGTCACCCACAGGTGTTTTGTTATCTGAATTCAGAGTGTTCTGCTTTTTTTATTTAATCCCCAGCAGCACAGATCAGATTCTTACCTCTTCAGGACGACTCAGTACGTGACCTTCAGGGCCAGTGATCCCCAGCTCTAAAATGCGTTTCTGCTCCTAAATTACAATTCCAGTCCCAAAAAGAAAAAGAAAAAATGTTATAATAGCAAAGGCATGACTTTTTAATCACTTTTTAATCTTTGTTTTTTTAAAGCAAAATTTATGATATATTTTCAGTTATTTTTTCCAAAAATAGAAATCTAAAATATATACATCTGTATTCAGTTTCTGGGTTAACCCTTTATGGCATCAATTCCAAATTCTGGAAGAGTGACCAGTACGGAGACCTAAGATCCAACACAGGAATTGATCTAAGCAATAAAAAAAAAATGTGTTAAAGGGTATTTAAGATGGAAAATGCCCATTTAAAAAATTGAGAAAGCAAACGAGTTGGGTTGTTGAGGTTGTTATTTTTACACCAGTTGTTAATCTATTTTGTAGAAATGTGTTTATACTTGACAAACAGCTGAGGTTGTGAATTGACACCATCTTATGGGTCATAAGCTAAAACAGGCATCCCCAACCTCGGTCCTGGAGAGCCGCTGTCCTGCAGGTTTTAGAGGTTTCCTTGCTCCAGCTGATTTTAATTGAAAGCTGATTAACAGGCTTTTGGTCTACTGCAATCATTATAATCAGCTGTGCTAAAGCAGGTTGGGGATGCCTGAGCTAAAAGGTTCGAAGAACAACTTTTTACTGTAGTTACCCGCCCAAGAGAATTTGCAGAATTAGAGTCAGATTTTTCTTTCTTGTAAATAGCTCCATTCCATTCGAATGGAATGGAGCTATTTTAAAAAAGCACTTTTTTTTTGGTCTGGTTTCAATTCAATTTATACTTTTTGCAAGTGGACTATAGCTCACAGCAAACCTCATCTGACAATCAATCCTCCAACTAGTCAGAAATGACTACAGAATACAACACCTTAAATGGAGGAAAATGATGGAATTCCTGCATACAGCATAAATCATGGATAGGGTCTAGAGCAGCTCATTAATTTAGATTTTGGGAATTTATCTTTATCTTTAAATTGGTGACTGTGTTAGGAAGAATCCCCCTCTGCTCGCAGCGGCATTTCTAAGCTAATATAAAACTGGAACTCTCTTCCACCCCTACTTAGAAACATGGACTCACTTCTCCATTTCAAATCCCAACTCAAAAATTATTTCTTTAAATTTGCCTATTCTCTTTAATATTAATTTCCCTGTCCCAGTCTTTGTATTTTTAAATAGCTTTTATTCTGTGTTTTTACATTTTTTCTGCCATTGTGTTTTTATCTTTTGTACGGTGACCTTGAGTGTCCAAAAAGGTGCCTTTCGGAATAAAATGTATTATTATTATTATTTAAGCAACAGACAGCATAATAGGTATGATTACAACTTACAACAACGGTTGCTTGCAAAAAAAAAAAAAACATTTTCTTTCTGTATTTGGGTGGAAAAGAGGCCGGTTTGTATTCATACCTGAAGTCCATTTGAATGCAGAGCATAGTTTGCTGGTTTTTATTCACATTTATACAAAAGGTCCGGACAAAAGGGGGGAAACAAACTCCAAATNACAGACAGCATAATAGGTATGATTACAACTTACAACAATGGTTGCTTGCAAAAAAAACAAACATTTTCTTTCTGTATTTGGGTGGAAAAGAGGCCGGTTTGTATTCATACCTGAAGTCCATTTGAATGCAAAGCATAGTTTGCTAGTTTTTATTCACATTTATACAAAAGGTCCGGACAAAAGGGGGGAAACAAACTCCAAATATGACAGGTGTAAATACACCCTTAATAAGATTTAAGCCAGGCTTCATTCCAGTATTAAACTGTATTTACCTTCATCCCTCTACCCATCAGTTTTGTGCAGTGGCAGACAGATGCAAAAGTGTAGTATAGTACGAAAACTATAGTAGTATAGTACAAACCATATCCCACCAGAGTGTTACCATACATAACTACACTGTTATTTGGTATTAAAGTAAGATTATGTGTTTGAGAATGCAAAGACAGAAACCCTCTACTTCCTTCTTCCAACTTTTTTTTTCTTTTTTTAAATTCTGCCTTAAAGCTCATTTTCCTGTTTGTATGGAGGGTTTGGTCACATATGTTCAGTTCTTTGTTTAACCCCCTCTAGTGGTCTGGAGCACTTCTGTTTTTAGAGCGAGTTTGCAGCTGTTTTTACTATTTTCATAATTTTCACTCTGTGATTGCAGCATTTTGTTTTTGTTTGCCCCATGTTGTTTACGCTTGCTGTACTTTTTGTTGCATCTTGTTTTATTGATGCGTCTATTTTTAGTGATAGCAGCATTTTTAGTTTGCAGCATTTTTCTGTTGCATATGCTTTTTTGTGTTTTGGACTCATTTTTTTGCTGTTATTTTCCCTTTACATAAAATTTCAAAAAAAAAACACACCAGGGTATTTGGTTATAAAGAGGGAAATTGTGAAAAAAGTCAACTTCTCTTACCTCTGCAACGATGTCTCCATTTTCAGCGTGAACCTGAGCAATGGCTCCCAGGTCTCTGATGACGCTGAAAACCTCATAGATCTGCGAGAAACAAGGTGAATGTTTATAAAGGGCTGTCATCCACAGTAAAGCCAACAAATGACCTTTGAAAAAAAAAGACACTGCTAAAGACAGGCCAGCAGAGATCAGAGGTGGGCCACCATCAAAGCATACCTGAGCGTCTGAAAGCTGGAAAACGTCCTTATAAGCCAAATAGACCAGGAAAGAGTTGACACCTGAAGATAGAAAGCTTATGAGAGAAAACAGCCAAAGGTGGAACAAAGAGAGTGAAGGAGGGAAAAACTCAGAGCACAAAGAAATAATTGAGGTAAAAAAAAAAAGACCCAATATCTAGTTCTGTTTTTCTTCTGATTATTAATGGTTTGTAACAACTCACAATTCCTGATCACCATTATAGCCTATAAACATCTTCCTCCTGCCCAAGGTCCATGTTTGCTTTGGTCAGAGTGCCTAAAACAGGAGGATGAATCACCTGGACAACAGAGGTAAGGGGAGATGGTGTTTCAGAGCTCAGACAGAAGCGGCTGGGAATCAGTGTGAGAACAGTGGCTGAGAGAGAGCTCCATAACCAGGACGACCCGGCCAGCTACGTTGTCCTCTGTGGCTAAGGAGCCACAGCGGCAAAAGCGGCAGCTTGTAGCTGCTACTGTAGCTCAAGAAGAGCGCTGAAGAGGACAGCGCTAGATCTGAGAGGTCTGCCAGGAAACAGAGCCCTGATCGCCGGAAGAGACTACAGCTGGCCCGGGATAACTAGAGGATCGAAGCAGAACGGCAGACTGGATTTGTCCGCCGGTCGGAGAGAGGTCAGAAGGCAGAGAATCGTGGCTAGAGCTTACTGCAAGTAGGATGGCGTGACATTGAAGGAGAAGGAGCCCGCCATGGTGACAGAGCAGGAAGAGATGACGGCAAGCCAATGCTAGCATTTAGAGGCTAACTGTTGGAGACAGACAGGACTGCTGAGGATCAGAGGAGCCTTCGGCCGGAGTGAGCAGCAGAGCAGGATGAGAGAAGCATCTAATGTAAATAAAACCGAGTCATCACTTGACAAGATAGGTAAAGCGAACGTCGTGGAAGCCATTTTGTACCGTGATGACCTCTGTATTGTTGGAGGGGAATGTTGTTGCAGTTTGATCATTAGATGTCACTTTAAATTACACATTGTAGCTTTAAAAGGGTTGATTACCCCCAAGCAAGGGTCTGTGTGAAAGCAGTGTTGTCTACATACCATGATCCTTCACTAGTGTCTCCATCTCCTCCTGGGTGCTGTTGTTCCACTCTGTGATGTCTACATGCAGGGAATAGTCACAGCAGGACTTGCTGTCAGCCCACTCTCTCCATTGTTTGAAAGCAGCCAGCAGGCTGACACCAGGCTCCGGTACCACATGGTCGACTAATAAGCAACACATAAACATGTTGGTTTTACTCTTCTTGCATGATGACACGCTGCCAAATACAATCTTACACTCGACAGCATGCACATCTGCACGTAACTGATCATAGTAGTGCCGCCAGCCAGGGCCGCCCGGGTGCCCTGATAGAAGTCATCCGCCGCCACCATGCCTCGGTCAGGCATCTGGAAACGGGTGTGCACATCAATGCCCCCAGGCATCACCATTCTCCCATGGGCTTCTATGATCTTGACTCCACCTGGAACAATCAGGTTGTCTCCAATTTGCCTGAAGTAACAAACAAACAAGCAGAAGTTGAATCAGCGTTAAGGCCACACATGCAGTGAAAGAAATCCTTAAGCAGGACTTACTTAATGACTCCATCCTCCATGTAGATGTCGCCCAGGAAGGACTGATCATCGTTCACTATCTTTGCTCCCTTGACGAGGAGACGGTCGCTCTGAAAGAAGATTTGCTTTTAAATAAATCACATATTTCTGTTTGGATTCTAGGAACTCAGAATATTTGGCATGTTTCCTCCACATTTCAAAGCTTTGCAATCAGACCCCCACCCACACACACACACATTCATAGAAATATGACTTTAAATGTATCCGTTTCTCTTTCTTCCTGAAAGGATCCATTCCACTAGATCGACAGACTACTTACAAGTCTAAAATTTCCATTGATTCCACTACTTCTAGTTTTAACTGTGTCTGTAGTAGTTTTTGAATATTTACACTGCAGTGGAAACACATATGTCTAAGTTCTACTATGGTGGCTTTACATTGATTACAGCTGAGCAGATTAAACATTTCTTCCCTGGATCCTGGATTAGTGGTTCTGCGGAAGGAACTTTAGAGATGATTGAACTTTAGACGTGTGTCAAATCAAAGTGGAAGTTGATATTTTTCTAAATAAAATGCTCCACTAACTGGAGTTAAGTTGGCTGATAAAATGCACTAACAGAATAATACAATTAATCCGATTTAACGTGATTAATCGAAGAAATATTATTTAAAATAATTGTCAACTAATTTATTTATTGATTAATCATTAACTGGAGTGTAGAGACTTTAAAATGTGCCTTCAGCTGGCCCACTTAGAGGAGTAATCATACCAAAATTGTAAAAATATACATTTATATATTGCCTTTAAGATAAAAGAAAAAACTTTCTCTGTCAGTTTGTTCTATCCAGAACTCCGTAAGTGGAAAAGATTTGGTTTGACCTGGTTTAATTCTTTTTAAAGAAATCTTTTTTAAGGAACCTTTTGGTATACGATTATAAATCGATTCAACATAAAAATAATCAACTGATTAATCGATTAGCAGAATCATCTTTAGTTGCACCCGTAAATACCTGCTGGTCACGATTAAAGACGCACATGGCTGCAACTGCTGCTCTCTTTATGAAGCCTCCTCCCTCTAGCCAATGTGTGCCCCCCCCCCCCAATTTTTTAAATGCTTCCTACACCACTTCTACAAGGGCCAGGAAATCATTGATCAAAAGCCTAGGCGAAAGATACGACTCCTGCATGCCATAATTGGCTCCAGAAAAATGAGATGAAAAGAAAATGAGGCATGTTGTCCTACTTCTGCTACAGGCTTTCTGAGGGAAGCATTTAGACCAAATCATGGCGGCACTGTGAAAGGCTCACAGTGGGAAATGTTTAGTTTTCCATCTCTGTGGGCATGTAGGTTTATTAACCATGGAGGGATTGATGGGATCTGGGTCATGTAATTACAACTTCTTAGGTATAAGTCAGAATAAAAGAACAAAAAATGTTTGCATTTATTAATAAAGCATTAAAAAAATTATACAAGAACATGCAGTAAGACAAAAAGCTGGGAGACTAATATGATGTTCTTAAACCTGAGCAGATTATTCTGAACTTAGCCCACTAAGTAAAATATCAAAGGACCAAGCAGAAACTAGTAAACGCAAACATTAACCTAAAATACCTGCGTTTACCTGGTGGATAGGATTAAAGAGGCACATGGCTGCAACTTTGGTTTTATAATTAGCAAAGCATCAAATTAAAGAGATGCACCAATCAACCTGCCAGGATTCAGGAATTTTCAGCACTAAAAAAAAAAAAAAATCAATTTCCTACATTATTCATGATATGCATCAAAACAATTAATTCCCATCAGGATTTTCACTGTTTAATCCTCTAAATGAATAAAAATCAGATGGAAGTTCAGTGAAACGTGTTTTAATGAAAAACTTTCCTGCTCCAAATTTTCTGTTGGATTTCAGTCTGAGAGAATCTTCTTGACATGTTTCTACTTTATGTTCTCTCACTATTACAGAAGAAAAGTAGTAGAAAACAAAAAAATATCATCAGCCAGAAAAAACCCTGTCAGTGCATTATCATTAAATTTAACAACAAAATGGCTGTAGCAATGCAAGACAGTGGATTTATATGCTCATGTGATGCATGACTATTTCAGACTAAACTTGTATTTTTTTCTCCTTTCATTTTATCTGTGGAATACCTTCTAAAAGTTTGAGGCTCTACTGTGGAGCTGTTCCTGTCTGGACAATGAATCTGAGATCTTCCTGCTCGGCTTTCAGCCGTCAGCTAAGCTGCTGGCGCCCTGAAACTACCTGATTGATGTATCAAATAAAAACTTCATTTTTTTTCAAAGGGTGAACCTAGACTATAAAAACCGTCTGGGTGAGGAAGTATAACAGGGTTTATACAGGAATGAGCAACTCTAATTTAATGCTTTTTCTTAGAAATCATTTTAATGCCATTAACAAGTACCCATGACTCTCATATACAGTATACACGGCAAATTCCTTCTTCATCTTCAATCAATTCCTTGATTTCCAGCCACTTTTTTTTAGATTAGCATTTCCCCCCTCCCATTCTCCAGCTTTTTCTCCGCCTTAATATATGCAAATATACTGCGATATAATATATTGCGATGTATTTGCATATTTGCAAATATATATATCATTTAATAAAATTTTTCATAAAGGTTTTTTTGTTTTCAAAATAAAGCACTTTAAAATGCCAAAATAATCACAATTAATGAATATAATTCCAAATCAGGCCTTAATTAAAAAAATAACTATTTACTGACTTTTAATGACCCACAGAAAACCTGTATAATTTAACACAGCAAAATTTCACAAAACTGACATCTGGAAATGTGGATAGAGGGAGTCCAGTTTATCAGCTACTTTTTGTAAACACCATGCCAGACAAGAAACATTTATACATTTTTATGCATCTTTTCCCCTTAAAAATGGATGAATGTATTCTCCAGTTTCCCAGAACAGCAGCACTGCAGGGAATCTGCACTCATACTTTAGTTTATACAGAAAATCTCTGTTTTTCTGACTTTACAGTGATTTGATGCAGGTACATGCAAAATGTGCTCATATGTGAGGATTGAGCTGCCTAAAATTCAGTTCTACTGGTGATTACTTTGATAGTGGGGGGATGCAGCAGGAAACACAGCATTTGGGCTATAACTGAACAAACTGATCAGGTCATACTTTTTTATAAGTGTTTCCCAAAACATTTGATCTGAAAATGAAATAGGATCACTTAAGTCTTAGCTCGTCCTCTTTACAAACTGATTAAAATAAAAACCCTAAAAAAAAACAAGATTTGTGGGAAAAAGAAAAAAATTATGCATACATTTCAACTCTGATCAGTTGTTTTCTGTTTGAGATGTCCCTACAGACATGCACATGGGGCTGGGGGGAATGTTTTATTTTTTTTATTAAGTATCAATCCAGCACAAAAATAATAAAACAAATACAAAAAACAATTTGTTTTATATGTGACATATCTAAAGACAGTAGGATTTTACAGCAAAGTCTGGTTAGTAGCCCACTGACAGCCATGACAGCTGCATAATGAAGGCAGAGATGCTCTCTGCTGACCTACTTTATAAAAGAAGTTTGATTTCTCCCAAATTAAACACAATGAAACTGCACTCTTGAAATATCATGGATGAAAAACTCATATATATTAAATGCTGCCCGTTTAAAATAAGAGAAAGGAGTCAGGGGTCCATAGATGATGTGATGCTGTCAATGAATCCAGGATGCTGATGGTGGGATAACTGGGAATAAGGGATGCCATCCTCTTGATACATATGCATTTAATAATAAAAATAAACTATTACAGATTCAAATGGCAATTCCAGCTATCTAGTTCTGAATGCTCCCCTGTGTTTAGTATGTGGAGCTTCAGCAGAGCTGCTGTTAGAATCATCAAAGTAACCGACTGGATGCAGCTGCTAACAGCTAACAGCTAGCTTTGATCGGATTGTGAGGCAAACTGAAACTACAATAAAACAGACACGAAGCACTCACAGTAATTTTAGGGATATTCTTCTTTCCTTGGTAGCCGGACATGTTGGAATTCCCTCCGACACCGCTGCCCCCTGCCTTTAATTGAGGCTAACAGCCTTTGAAAGGAGGAATGGATGCTCTGCCTATCGGCCAGTCGACGCCCCGGATCGACACTGTCTGTTCCTGGCTATTTATAACGATGGCCAGATGGAGGAGCGTTAATAATAATGCAGCGAAATATGTATATATATATATTTTTTTCTTTGCCTAACTGTGGAGGATTTATAGATTTACGGCTAGAACAGGTCTCAGCAGACCAGACAGCCACCAAGAAGACAAGGGCCACAAAGAGGGACGGAGCATGCGCAATATGGCAGGCCATTTGGACATTTACTTGAAGCCCTGTCGCCTCTAGTGTTCCATTTGTTGATCTCTAAAATAAGATTCTTCCTGTTCAAAACTAGCCTAGTAAACTAGCCCCACCCGCCAGCGGCCAAAATCATTTTTGCCTGCGAGTAGCAATCTCACATTTAGTCTGGTTTATCAGGCTAGATCAAAACTACAATCTTGCAAGCCAGAAATGTACAGTTAGACACGGGCGGTTCTAGAGAGGGGCCAACGGGGGCCAGTGCCCCTGTAGATCATGTCCTGGCCCCTGTCGTGGCCCCTGTACTGAAGACATAATACTCAAAGAAATTCCAATGATGATTATGTACTGGAACAGACATGGTTACTTAAAAGTCCTTTAGATCTATTTCAATTTTTTTTGTGTGCAAATCCTGTTTTACTAGTTATTTAAAAACAATAAGGTAATAGCTTCAGTGGTATTGAGATAGGATCTCAGTTTTACTCTATTAAATCTTTTTTTTTTAAAGAATAAAAAAGAATAATCAAATTTTTACAGCTGATTTTCATCAGTTTTTCTTGATTTCAAATTCAGATTTTATAGAAAACTTTATTTTTAACTTAAGTTAAGTCAAAAATAGGTAAAATTCCTAAATTATGAATGTTTTTTTTTTTACCTAATAAGACAGAATTTTAATTAAACCTAATTGAATAGAGATTTCACTTCATACAGATATCTTAATATATTTGAATCCCTTGCCCTGTTTTTTTTTTTTTTTTTCATGCTTTTCTGTGGCCCCCATGAAAACCCGCTGGCCCCCTCATGGCCCCCTGGTATGTTTGGTCCAGAACCGTTGCTGTATATAGCAATCCTAAATTACATTTTCCTTGTAAGAATTACATTTCAGGTATTTGCAATGCATATTTTAGATAGGGGAAATGCTATTTTAGATATCTGAAATGTTCCTTTTGACCAGGAAGAAATGCATTTGAGACATCTATAACGTATATTCAGTTAAGCTAATAAATGTTAGAACGGCCTGCCATACCACACTGCCCCGCCCTGCGCGCGATCGGAACCGATGCTTCTGTTCAAGATCGGATCAATTTCTCCTTTCTAAAGGGTAAACAGCTCTGATCTGATCCGTGTTGCGAGTCCTGTAATATGTTAAAAACATAAGTCCGTCAGAGATGATTTAAAGTTTTTTTTTTTTTTTTATCCTCACAAAAAAATTACAGTTATCCTTAGTCTGTGTTATACCATGAGGAAACAAAGCTGCCTTTCACTGGGCTCAAAATTAGTTCATTATCAATACAAAACAGTTGAAGCGAGAACAAAGACCATTGGATAGCATTTTATGACAAGAAAATAAATGATTTTATGTTACCACAGGAAGAAAAAAAAAACTCAAGAAAGTTAGTAGAATTTAACAAATAATATAAACTTCTATTTACATAACTGAAATAATTTTTAGGGAAGTATGTTTTCCAATTAATCTCAACTGATTTGTTTTTTATTGTTTGAATTACCTTTTTAAATCCTTATTTCTTCTGAATTTTTTTCATTTTAGTTTTTGTGTGTATTTTATCCAGTTTCATATGGACTGTAAGGAAATAGGACACTAATGTCATGTTGCAGTGCTTATAAACAATGAAACTGTTTTCTGACAGATGTGAGAAGTAAATAATAGATATTGTCCATGTACACTGTTAATATGCCTGGTCATAAAAGGCAATTTCAATTAAAATGTGACATCTATAAGGCCAACTATAAGTAATTATGAAATAAATCCATCTCAGATTTGCTCAGATCGCATCAAGGTGATTAGTCCTTATTTCTGTTGCTTTCTCATTTCATTTTGCTTCAAAGGTTAATAAACAAGAATTTTCGGACAAGATTGTAACATATGTTTCTGGCATTAAAGCCCTTAAACATACAGTACACAGTACCATGGCAAAGCAACAAGAATTTTTTAAATCCAAATCATCTCTAGTAATATTTTTTGCAAAGAGTGCATTCTTGGAATTAATACTTTTGATTATCTTTGGGTAATTCTACCATACAGAAATATGCATGTTAAGTTAATTGATATTTAAATCATAGACTTGATTGTGTCTGCATCATTGCTGGTTCTGGAAAGGGCCGACTTTTCAGTTTATTTTACCTGGTGAACAAGGAAGATACATAACTTCGTATCAGAATTTTCAAATTCAAGCTGAATCTAATTTATACGAATGATCAAAATAAGTCAGAACACTAAACATGGAGTACCTATAAGCACTATTTTTGGCACTGTGATGCCATAGCTGTTGAAATAAGAACTTAAAAGACTTGGGTAATTATAAAAAAAAAAAGGCAGACTGTAAACAAATGTTTCTTTAGTTGTACCAGACATTGTAATGGAAAATAAATTAAGATAAAGTATGAGTATAAGGTAGGAGTAATAGTATTATAATATTGCTTTACTGTAAAATAATATAGACTTATTGGTTATTTATTGGCATTTCTGTTTGGTTTTATCTGGCACAAATGATACAAAAAAAAAAAATTCCTTTCATGTTTGGACACACAGAATGTAAATAGTCACCGTAAGAAGTTGGCACAAACACAAATCCCAGTTTTCCAATTGGCAATTGCAACACATTTAACTCAGTGGGGAGTCGGGACACCAAGTCCAGCTAAAACTTCTGAGACATCCTGAACACGGCAATAAATATGTTAATGAAATCATACCCAGCCATCTTCTAGCTACAAGTTGGAAAACTAGTGAGATTTGGTAATAAATTTGATCCGTATATTTTTTCATTTTAGAACATTGTGGAAATATGTACATTATATACTAAATAAAGTTTATTTAAATTCTAAAATGCCCTTTACTGCATGCAGATATTTTGTACATAGCTCTATAGGACCAAATATTCAAAGTATGGGTTTGAAAGTTATATAACACATCATAACCGAGAAATGAAATCAAAAAACACTACAGTTTTGTATATTATAGTTTATATTTTGTATGATTATAATCCATAAACAGAGGAGCCATGCAATGAGCATCAACACAGAAAAGGCTTGAGTTATCCTTAATAGATGATTTCTATATTATTATAATAGATGGTCCACAAACACTGTATATGATTTAGATTGAATATATATATATATATTCGGGGAGCTTATTGTACAGTGGAACCAACATTAAATTCAGATAACACTTTTAAAAGCAGCCCCAAAAAATATCTTCCTCTGTGGTGGTGATTTATGCACCTCTAACAACTGAGCAAAAACACAATACTTACACTGCCACAATGCATAACACAGCCTATACTATGCATTAATATCAAAGTATAAACACGTTATACAATATTGAGACGTGTTAATAGCAGGGGCAGGTCACAGCTTAAGTTATTTTTCACAAGTACATTATTAAATATCTAGATATATAATAAAACAAAACAAATTAGAAAGCCTAAGATAAGCCACCCATGTGCAATTGTAAAAGATAAAAGTTTGGCACTTTGCTACTGCTCTTATGCGTTAAAAAAGGGATATGTTGAGGAAAAAAAATACAGAAAAGTAGCATATGGCCTGGTATATTACCTTCCACTCTAGATGTCACTGTAATAAACCTATAAATTATAGTAACATTTGGGTACTGGAAAAAAAGGATAAGGTTTAAGCTTGGCAACCTTTTGCAAAAGTAAATCTTTAACAAACAAAAGCCCTCTGAGGGTGTCAACGAATTACAACTTCCATCTCCTACATTGTGCGACTTTTCTAAAATTATCAAAGCTGTGCAGAAACATTCAGCTCTTAACACCAATTCCTTGAAAGTTAGAGCCCAGTTACACTAGACAAAGACTGGCCCCCAACATTAAATATGAACCAGAATACTCTTGGTCACCAAAATATCTTGGAAAGATCCTTAAGCTAGCATTAAGAATTCAGAGCAGTCCCTACTATGTTTGATGAATTATGAGAGTCTGCAGATTGGTGACAGCATACAAATAAAAGAAAAGCTGGATATGTTTCATGAAAACTGCTCACTATGCAAAAGCGTTCCCTGCTCTGAAGAGGCGCACACACCTCCAAACTGTGCATATAAGGCTGAGTGAAAGTGCACATTTTCCAGGCTATAGTTTAAATGCAGAGGGTTTTATTGTATCAATCAATTAAATGTCCTGGCATTATATTTAATGCGGAGGAGAAAAACGTGCAAGTAGTCACATATTGAAGGATTAATATCTTTTCATGATAATCACACCTCATTTAAAGAAAAACAAAACTTAATGGCTCAAAAAAATGGTGAAACCAGGTTAGAGTGAAGAGTAATAAATACTGATTGTAAATTTTGGGCACATGATTCTTTCTGACAGGACTTGCTAAGATATGCAGCCAAAGTGCTGAGACAGGTTAAAATGAATGTGCATTATTGGACTCTCAGTAGTGGCCAGCACTCTGTATAGAAAAGCCCCTGCAACGCATAATTTCATTCTGCCGATATGCTGATCAGATCCCTGTTTTTTTATTCTTTTATCTTAAGCTGAAATTGCTAACAGAGGTGCAGAATCCTCCAATTATAGGAAAATTTTGCAGTATGTAAAGAGAAATCCTAGAGCGTATGATGCCTGAGAAGCCTAGTAAAGCAATATCATACTTCAAAAATAGATTTTTCATATTCGCCATCAATCAAGAGATCCTGTAGGGTGGTCTTTATCTTGTGGAAGTGGGCCTTAAGATCCAAAAACTCCCAGGATATTAAATGTCTCCCTCGTTCCTCGTTGTCAGTGTTTTTTTATATTGTAATCACACAGCAACTTAGTTATTTCATAATTTATCATTTTCAGAATACCTGAAAAAAAAAATATTTCTTAAGAAAAAGGACACATTTCATATGCTTTAACATAAGACACAAAAGGAAACTTTAACTTGACAACTGACACAAAATTCCTGGTATTTTTCAGCTTGATTCCAGTCGGTGGCTTGCATATATGGTATTCCCCATCATGTCAAAATCTGTTGGAGTGCAACCACATACTCAGTATGACTACATCTACAGTGTAACACCGGTTAATGCAGACTGGAAGAGAAGGATGTGGGTGTAGGACAGATACAGAGAGTGAGAGCTTGACTACAGGAGACGTTTGGGAGGCTTGGAGACATGGAAACACCCAGGCACTGCTTCATTTTCAGGTTCAGTAGGAGCTGGTGGCTGCTGCAGCGATTCTTTTCCCAATGTACACCCTAAAATAAAATCAGCAAATTGAACAGCTTTTGATTAAAAGATAGAAAATACTTGGTGAATAACTAAAATGACATCATCCTAATTAATATAAGGTCTGTTTCATTTGATTTAAATGTATTTTTTCAATCAATGGTCATTGTAAATTATATTTTCTAATCCCTTTGTTTAAAATAATGGACATTACAATTACATTGTTTTCATTGTGAGAACCACTCATAAAAACAGGAAACCTTTAGGAAAAAAATGAGCAATACAGGAAAAGTGGGTTAAAATACTTTTAAACCAGAAACAGGTGTTCAAACGTACCCAATTCCAAGAGCCAGCATGTGTGAGATGAGCAGGGAAGGGATGAAAACTTTTAGAAAGTCAGCAGAGAAGATTCCACCTTTCTTCATGACGCCGCTCTTCCTCATACTCAAAGAAACCGAGCGTCTGGGATGTCTAAAGTGGAACTCCCTGTGAAAAACAAACACGCAACCAGTTAGCACTCCTTCCGATGCAGAGGAAAATATACTGAAGGCTAGTGATTAGGACGTTGGCGGTCTACTAACTTTGGTGGGATGTTTTCAGGCCTACTGGACCAGTTGGCCACCCAATCAACTTCTTTGTTCATCAGAATGTCCTCCTCTCTGTCCTTGTCTGAAGGATCATCCTCTGACTAGAAATATAAAGGCAAAAATATGTGAAAAACAAACAAAAACTGCTACATTCTGTTTATTGTATAAGGTGCATAAGTTTTCATACTAAATTATATTTTTTATATATTTAAATTTGATATAACGATAACAAAGAATTGTAGAGGTTGATACACTTTTCCAATTAAAAAAATCAAAAACTTTCTTACAATTTTACAGTTTTAGAATAACAGAAAATACAGCTACCAGTATTTTGGACTACAGATATGTTACACAGAAAACAGATTTGGGGTTAGCACTGCCCCCTATTGGTGAGGCACAGTACTTTTTTGCCTAAACCTCTCCTTTTTCTCTCTGAATTTATGGCAGATTAGAAACATTAAAAATCTCACTAATATTTATTATATATAAAGGACAGATTATGGAACATAGATGTGTTTTTTTGCCATGTGAAATCAAACTTGCAGGTTACCAAATAAAATAGACTGTAATGGACAAACTCCAAATTCCTTTACCATTCACTTAATGTGAGATAACAACACAAGAGGTGAGGCAGACCTATTCTCTGCCTCCCTGTAACACTCTTTTTTGTATTTTAATAATTTAAGCGTAAATTCAGGGATTTTGGCCAAAGAAAATCTTCCATTCATACAAAACCATTTTTATGGTACAGTTAAGAGTTGGAAAAAATAGATTTTTCACTCTCATCTAATCAATTACAGTCATGATAAAAGATGAAGTTAATGCTTTACCTGCCTTCCCATAAAACCCCTCACTGAATTGAATTCACACATACATAAAGATAACTTTGTGTAACCGGTTTACTGAAATGTCTTTTATAGGTTTGTGGGAGGAAACAGAAGAAAAAAATGACCCAGTTAACCTAATGATCTAATTTATTTCTTGTAATCTTAGTAAGTTTGGGTTTTGTTTTTTTAATGGGGGAAAAAAAAAACCACAAAGCTTTTATATTTCCCACCAACCTTTGAATGCTCTATCACATAAAATGCATTCAACGCTGTTGTTTTAATATTTGAAAATGTGAAAAACTTTGAGGATCGTTATTGCTTTAGCTGGGTCAAAGTGCTTTTACCTGACTTCCTCTTAGGCTGGACATCTCCACATCAAACATTATCTGGCCGTCATCCTGCCCAGGACTTGGTGGTCTGTGTGGACTGTCAATGCATTGGTTAGAATAAAAACAGTGCAACACTTTATGCAATACAACTACTATTCATTCTCCAAAAGTGTGACTTTCCCCACAAAGGTAAAGAACATATGTGGCCTACCTCTCACAGGATGAGTTACTAGGGCTGGACTCGTGCTGGGCATCCAGAAGTATTTTTTCCATGTCTCCATTATGAATAGAAGATGATGATGGTACATGCTCCAGTCCTCCGATTAGGGTTTCATCACTTTCAGCCTCGTCTAAAGGCTGGACACTTTGACTCAAGCCTGCATTTGCGTTGATTTGGTCTTCAGCAGGTGCTGTAAGCAGACTGCTCTGCCTGCGCTCTGCCCCTGGATTACCATTCAGCTCCAGCTCTACCCAGGAGCCTTATAAACAAAAATAAATGTACCAAAAATAAAGAGAAAATTACTTTATTGGGCTTAAATAAAATGAAGCACTAGTGCTATCCTTTACATGAAAAGGTTTGATCTACATGTAAACCTCAATAAATCAGAACTATATTTGGTGATCTGAATTAAAAGGCCAATTTAAGATCTAGAAGGTTGCTGACTTGACAGTTGCCCAGCAGGCAGTGATGGACACTCTTCACAAGGAAGGCAAGCCATAAAAGGCTTTGGTTAAAGAAGCTCGCTGCTCAGTCAGGGCTGCATTCAAGCAGAGGTTCACAAGCACACTGGGACATAGCATGGATTCTCAACTCAACAAGGACTGTGGAAATTTTATCCCCGGATCTTTGGTTAGGTACCTCTTCACTCTTCCTTCGGAGTCTGGAGTCAAAATTAAAGGAAAAAATACCTTTAACTGAAAAGAGGACTGCAGAGCAATCCTTTTTTTCAAGAGGTAATATGCTTTTGATGTTATATTTGGCTCAGGAAGGACTTGTGAAAGTCACTTCCTGAGACGCCTCCTAAACTTTTGAATGGGTTTTTCTTCACTATCCACTCACCATTGTTGAAAAGTGTCTTTGGTCCAGTATGAATTACACAACATTCATCACAACCATATATACTGGAGTTCTACTGACAAATTTAAGGGGAAGCAGATTTTATTTCCCTGCTGAACATGCCACATGTATGACATAGGTCGGTTCTTGGAGATTTTTTCCTAAAATGTAAGCGTATGTTATATTTCTAATTTCTGAATGGAGAATTTTGTTAGGATAATTATGATTGATGATGTGTGAGTTTATTACACCCTAATATTACCTGCCTGCTGTGGGTCAGAATTAATGTTCTTCTATTTAGGACAGTTCCTCTGTCCGGATATACAGTTACCATCTTTATTATGTATGGAAAGAGAGCGGTGTGCTTGATCTAAGATATAGTGTAATATTTTTATAAGGCTGGAGCCATGGATGTGTCCTCATTTGCTAACGTGTATGATGTAATAATGTCATAATGTGGCAGAATGTTCTATAAAATGCTTCTCAAACTGTGAATCGTGGCTGCCTCATGAGAAGTAAGCCCGGTTGGTAAGCAGCTGCCTTCTGTAACTTAAAGCAACTTCTCTGGTCTGAGTAAGATTACAATTGCTATCAAAATCTGTTGTCATGTCTCCTGGTTATTTAACACATAAAAGTTATGAAGTATTATTTAAAGAGTTTGTCCCCAGTGATCTCTTTTCAGGGAAAAGAACCAGAGAAAGAAAGTTTCAAGGTGTAAACACAGAGCTTTACTTTAACAAAATTTCTGAAAGGAGAGTTTTATTTTGTCTGCTAAACTCAAATAAACACATGAAAACTATCCTTGAAGACCATATGACATTTTGCTTTATTAAATAGAAATGAAACACTTTTAGATTAAAAAAAATTCTCATTTATTCAGATGCACTGGTTGAAAGAAAATAAAAACTGCCAATTCATCCGAATAAACAGGAACCGTTGCAGCATGTATGGAGGTTATGGAAGAGGATTAGCGCCACTGAAAAAAAAAAAAGTTAACAGACTTTTTTTTTTATTTTATTTCAGTTTAATATGAGAAAAAAGTCAGATTTCCGACTTTTTTCTTAGAATTCTGACTTTTTCTCAGAATTCTGACTTTTTTTCTCAGATTTCTGATTTTAATCTCAGAATTTTGGATCTTAATGTAGATGGGCACCATGAAGGGAGAGGTGTGTATGGAAGAGGATTAGGGCTTTCTGACTTTAATCTCAGAATTCTGAGAAAAAAGTCAGAATTCTTAGAAGAAAAGTCAGAAATCTGAGATTACAGTCAGAATTCTGAGATTAAAGACTGAATTCTGTGATTAAAGACAGAATTCTGACTTTTTTCTGACATATTAAACTGAAATAATATTAAAATATCTGTTAACTTTTTTTTTATTTTTTCAGTGGCCCTAATCCTCTTCCGTAGGAGGTCGTTGTGCCACTGCCCCGCAAAGTTATGTAATCTGTTGAAGCCTGCACTCTATACAACGTCTCGACCTTGTGATGGCATCAGGTGCCTCTCTCTCCCTTTGAGCCAACCGTAAATTAAAAACATGCTGCTGAGTCGACGGCGCATCTGACCAGTTTGACATCACTGCTCTCCTGGGGTCTTGCATAACTGTGGCGAGCATTGTGAGCCAATCTGCGGAGATGTGTCGCTGCTCCGGCTGCATTTCAATACACACAGCTAAGCTTTCTCTCCTGACACACAGAGCAGAGTCCATTCAAGCCTAAAATACCCAGTGGCATATTTACATGCGTGTGTTTTTTAAGCAGACAGAATGCGACCACTCCTCATGTGGTACTTATGTTGCCATGAAACTGTCTTTTGAATAAGCGGATGTTTACATGTCGAGATCAAAAAGCTAGCATCTATTTGTGGACATTTGAGGAGGGCCAGAGACAATATTCAATCACATTGGCCTTTTGTTTCCCAACTTGTTTTCATGTTGGCTAAAGCTAAACCCAGCCCAGACCTCTTAACCCGATTAGCTGCTTAAGTTGTCAATCACCTGCGTACTGAGCCATGGTTGGACTATTTCGCCGTGACGTAAGCAACACGTTATTCATCCCTACCAGAAGACAAGGAACTCCCACCACGAATCTAACTTTTAACATAAAACCCGTACAACTATATTTTCAGACATTTGCGCATTTTAATTAATAATACAAAGCGGGATGTATTAAGGAGACACGTACCAGAAATGATGACGACCTACCTTGAAGTCCGGGATCTTCGTTATTGTTTTGGGGAGCAGGAGCGGTAGACATGTTTGTTGACTATAGTTCTGACGCTAAACACGGGTGTGCGCATGCGCAGCATAGATAATTCAACGACAGTCTCTGGATCAATGAGACCGCCCCCTCTTCATTTGTTTACTCGAAAGACTGAATGTATATTATGGAGGACCAACTCTGCCATATTTAAAAATGCAAAAATAAATGCTCAATAAATAAATAAGCATATAATTAATTGCCCCCAAAATACAATAAACAAATAAATCTAGGTAGAAATAAAAACATATAATCAACTTTATTACTTATTTTTTAAAGTATTTATTTATGTGCATATGATAATATTTTTGTCTGTTATATTCTTCCTTTGTATTTTTTTTCACCCTATTTATTTCTTCAACGTTATTTATTTCTGCCCGTCATTTTTGCATTTCTGCCTCATGATGTAAATGAGGAAGGGCTGTGTCTTAGAGGGTCAACTTCTGCCCATTGGTTGGTTAGCATTTTACTGCATCGTCAAATCTACAGGAGAGGAGAGTCTGAAAATATATCATGCACATAAATACTTAAAAAATAATAAAGTTGAAGATTATAGGTGACAATAAATAAGGTAATTATTACAAAGGCAAATAAATAAAGAAGCTAATTAAAAGAGATAAATACATTTATGTCTCAGTGTATAATTACATTTCTACCTATATTTATTGGTTTATTGTATTTTGGGGGGCAATTAATTGTATGCTTATTTATTTATAGAGCATTTATTTCTGTATATATTGTCAAATATGGCAGAGTTGATCCTCCACAGTATATAGTTAAAAGAATTTTCCTAGAAGTCAAATGTATTGTATTTTTTTGGTAAATGTGTGCGATATGCTTGTACAAAAATATTTATCTTTGGAAAAAAAATCTTGTCATGATTTGAAAATTGATGTTCAGGGATGCCTCTCAGCTTAATATGAGTTTCTGCTAATCTGCAGATAATTTGTACAAACGTCAATCTCCACATGTGCTACTTTCTATGCAGTTATCACATACATTTCTATCAAATTAATGGTAACCACTGATCTAGAGAGGTGTACGATATTACTATAATGAATATCCTTGTGGGTCATGGTCCTAAAACCAGTATTTACTTAATTGAAGATGATTATGGAAGTTGTGATTTAACCCAAAAGAAATTCCAAACAGTAACAATACAGTAGTACAGTAATTTAATTATGAAATCAAATGTGAAATCCTTTATTACATATCTAAACTGTACCTTATTCCATTTTACAAACAATGCTGTACAGTGAACCCTCTGTAGTTATTCCCAAACAGATCACCCAAACTCCTTGTCCCCTTTAAAATAACAAAATGTAGATGTAATACACAGAAAAACAGTGCATTTTCTTTACCATTCTCATGACACAGACATGTATTAATACTCTGTAAAGAGGACAAAATCGTTCACTTTAATATGCAAATTGGGCAATCTACTTAACCCTGGGTTGTTGTTTTTTTATAGCCATGTGGGAAAGAGTGTAAGACAGAGCAAAATGTGAACATTGTTTCAATTCTGAAAGTTCATTTCCTTGAAAATAACAATTTTGGGAGAAAGCAGCAAAAGATTCCCCTGAGCAGTCTACTGGGTGAACCAAGAAGGTTAATCAGTGTAGCTGATTATACTCTTATTTATTCATAGTGCTACAAAAAGGGAGCAGGGGTCTTGTGAACTTCCATTTTGTTGACACCATCGCTTCGAATGAGAGCTGGTATGAAGAGAATTTAGCAAGAGTTATAAAAATCTTTTTGTTTTCAAATAGCAAAAAAAAAAAAAGTTTTTATTGTTAGTAGCACATTTTAATTCATTTTATTGTGAAACAAGATGCTGATTTTCTCAATAAATGGAAGAAAATAGTTGCAATAGAAAAGATTCATTTATCCAGGAAAACAGCAGACAAAAAACAAAGTTTAGCATTACAAAAAAAAAGTTTCAACAACATAAAAATCCTAGAAACTTATCTCACCATCAAAAGAAACGACCCAGAACCCTGAGAGACTGGAACTCAACAGTAGTTAATAATCATACTGAAAAAGGAGCGACACTTTCACAAATATGATCCAGTAGACGTAGTCTCAGTGGCTCGTTTACAAGACATATATTACCAAGTGGAAAAGATAACCTTTATCTTCTTCATTACATTTTGACAGTTCACAGATGTTTTCTACTAAATATGACGGTGAGCCAGAATAGGTAACACATCAACCCTAAATTTCAACCGGTGACCCTTTGCTCCGATAACAAGCTGCACATGAAGTGCTTCACAGATTATTTTGAATAAAAGAAGAGCCACATGTGTCGCATAGATCAACAAACATCACTTAAAAGTAGTCAGCTGATCTGGCTAGCCTTCAATGAGGAAAAAGACAGGGGGTTTTGTTATTCTAAGCCAAAAAAAAAATTATCCATCAAGCAAACCCATGGCACATAAACTAAATCGGTTTTACATTAACTCAAATTCTAACACTGAATCTTCTAAATAAATTAGATAGAAAACAACTTAATTGGCAAAAGTACAGTATAGTGCTCATCAGGTAGGAGGTACTGAAACCCGTAAATCCCAACCCTGCTTAAACCTGATGCAAACCTTTGATTCATCTACCCGCTATACTGACCAAAAAGCAAAGGGAAACCTGACTTTTGAAAAGACCCATCATGTGGTCAGCCTGAGGAAGATAGGTCAAGAAACTACAGTGATCAGACTGTAATATTGTCTTAATTCATAAAAAAATAAATCAGCTATAGGGATTCTTCTTCATTGATCAGGTATAGTACAAAACATTCTACAAATAAAATCTAGATGCAAGTAAATAAGTTTTGTTTTTACTGCAACAGCGCATCTATTTTAGATAAACTAGACGCAGCACAAAGTTTTGGTGCCAGAGACCACATGAGAATACAAATAGGGCACGTGGGATCATTGAGGCCTTTAACACAGGTTCTGTCCTGAGTTTATAGTGGTTGCCCACAAAACAGCAAAGGGTGAACCTGAACCGCTGGATCAGGGGCACTTCACTTTGTGTAAAAACAGGACACTTTGGCATGATCAGCCATCGTCTAACTAGGCAAATTATGGTAATATGAGACTTCAATTACTTTGACAATACAAGGTAACCAACAGTTAGACTTGGGTTTTTATTGGTTATATTTACCTTTAGAGGAACGCATCAGATAGCATAAAATAAGCTAGAGTGATATCCATAATCATTTGCAGCTTTTTCTCCTCCAATCTCAAAATAAAATAATGACATCAGAGATTCCATCAATCCAATTCTTTCTTTCAATTGGCTCGGGTGGTGATGGGGAGGTCAACAAAGTAAAGAGGCAGACCCCGAACACATCAAAACTCAGAATTCCCACCATTTTCTGTCTAAGCAATGCATCAACCAGCAGAAAGTACTGTGACAAACTTCATTTTCTGTTAGCTTGAGAACATCTTTAAAAGAAACAGCAGCACGTAGCTCCTATTTTATGTATACTCCCTTGGGGAATTTGTGTTTAAAAGTTAACCAAAAACCGTCTCAGCAGGTTGGAGTAGCCAATGCCAGCTAGGAAAAGCAACATTGATCCATCTCCACCAAACCTTCTAGTTTTAGGTAGCCAAGAGCTAAAGTGTCTCCTACCTATACAATATAAATAAAAATGAGGAAGGATGCTCAGACAGGCACATGTAACCTGGCACGGGTAAAGTTATGTAAAGCCAAGCAGTACCACAAACAGACACACATAGAAAGGGAAGAGTTCAACAACTTCCATTTACTATAAACTCAACCACAGCAGAAATACAGTGATAAAACATACTTCTGTAGGAAAACATTTTGGTTTTACACGCATTATTTTCTCTAGTGCTGCCCCATAACCTGAGTGAATAAAAATATCAACGACATCTTATGGCTCTCCCTGTCACTGATATGGGTACGCTTGCATTAGACTGATTAACATTAACCCTGAATGACAGAAGACTTTAAGACAGACTCGTGTATCCTAAACCTCAGGAAAAAAAAAAAAAAAGGTCAAAACTCTGGAAACACAGGTTATAAGAATGTAAAATCACAGCCAGATTTTCATACAGAAGGGAGATGAATGTAAACAAGCAGCTGCAGTGAAGTTAAATTTTTTTTAACTTTGTTAGCTTTGATATCATTTCTCCAAAGATTTTAATGAATTAGCTAAACATAAAAATGGTTTGCTTAGTCCGTTAACAGTACAATCATACAGTACATCAGGAACGACGGGAAAAAACTTGGCAACTTGAAACTCATTCAACAAATAAAAGGTGTTGACAGCTTGTATTAATCTATCAGGGCAGTACAAAAATGAATTTTGGGACAAACACAGAGAAACATTAAAGCCACAACAAACTAGTAGCGATAACAGACAACTTAATCAAGTCAATATGGCACAAAAAGTGATAGAAAGGTATGTTTTCCCTTTGGTTTGGGATGTAGTGGAGTTACAAATGGAAGCTCAGGAGGATGGATTGCTCCTAATGGAGGAAACTAACAGCAGACTGATGGCTGGGTGTATGGCACCAATTACAAAAAGTCTTCTCACAATATTATAAGGACAGATTTGATCAATTTCTAGGGGCTTGGCTTAAGACGGATTTAGATATATTTTTTTCTGAGAGCAAAAGGGTTTAAGAAGAAACCGTGAACCGATCTGAAAGGGTTAACAAACTTTAGTTAATCTTATCCTGGAATATGTACAGATTGTTGGTAGTTGCCACGGCAATGATGTTGTCCAGCGGATGCCAGGCCGTGTGGAGGATCTTCTTGTTAAAGTCCAGACTGTCTACACTGATCTCATCCTTTTTACGCTTCCCACCTGTGCTTATTTTGCGAGGCTTCAGAACCGATCGCGGCTTGCTGTTTTCCCGCGACGCCTCAAAGGTCACGTCTTGTCGGTAGTCCCTGTCAAACATCCTGAAGAAGTTGTTGTAGGAACCAGTCATAACAACACTGTGGGAAAAAAATAATAAAAATCAGTCATGATCAGCTTTTTAGAAGCCGTCTCAATACAGATTGCATTTGTAATCCTTCACATCATGCCATGTCTGCTGTCAAGTTCCATGAAAACTGATACTAACCTGTCATTTCCATTCCAGCAGCATTCGAACTTGTCGAAAATGCAGTCGTTCTCATAAAGCGAACACAACTTACTCCTGAGATATTCATGCACCTGGTAAAACAGAACCATGATTAGTTCTAATTCAGTGAAGCAAACCTGAAAACGACACATAGGTGTTTGGTTTCAATAAAAACAAAAAAAAAAATAAATAAGTGATCTGGTAGAGATAAACAGAGAAGTCGGTTAGAGGATGAATTTGGCTCCGTTTGAGGTTTACAGACCGTAAGGCTGAAATCAGCTGGTTGGAAATGGAATTTTTTTTTTTCTAATAATAGATTCTATCAAAACACTAAATGGTTCTGCCAACAAAGAACGGTTTGTTTAATGATGCCCAAGATGACCATTTAAACAGGAAAGGGTTTAATAAACAGGAGAAGGAAAAAAGAAAATGGAAACAACAGTTAAGATAATAATCATCGTTTCCTAGAGAATGTTATTGGATTATACTATATACACATGGCGCCAGTGTACGGCAGCCTCACTTCTGTCAATGAGCCCCAGGACAGCTATGGCTACAATGTAGTTTGCCACCATCAGTGTGTGAGTGTGTGCATGAATGGGTGAATGACTGAATGTGGTGTAAAGCACTTTGGTCAAGTCTTCTAACCTGAAAAAGTGCTATATAAGTACAGACTATTTACCATTTATCACTGGGTTGATAAATATCCAGAAATACATAAAATACTAATTGCTATTAAAATTCCCAACACCAAATTATGTCTCTTTTTAATCAGTGAAACCATTTTTTACAATGACTGTAAAGCATGCAACTCTGCTTCTTCCTGATAATATGATTAGATAATGAACAACTGTTCATAAGGATAGAGGGATAGGAAAAAAATAATAATTTGAAAGTATTATTAAAGTTCAAAGGTGAAGCCTGAGACTCCAAGCAAATCGGCTCAAATGGTAACAAAAAGCGAAAATTCTGATGTTGGCTTCAAATTTCTGGATCAGTGCATCTTGACCAAAAAAACACTTCCAGGGACAAACCTGATACGTCTCTACTGGCCGCGTTTCCATGTTCAGATCCCATATTTTGACGGACAGATAGTCTCGCGTCATCATGTAGCGTCCACTGTGGCTGAACTTGACATCAGAGATGGAAGAGATGATCTCAGAAAAGAATGAGCGGTTGTTCGGATCTTCTGGCTCCTCAAACACTTTGGTTAAAAAAAAAAAAAAAAGAATGCATGTTAAGAGGATTTATCTTTCCTAAACAGCATGGTTTCATGTTAGAGCAACAACTGGAGAAAACAAAGATCCCATAACCAATATTTAAAATAAGTTTGGAGGAGCTCTTTGTTTATTTACTACTTGAATATTTGCTAGTGATTTTAAAAGCATACAGATTTTTAAATTTGTCACATGTGAAGTTATCTCTTGTGAAAATGCATCTTATAGACATTTCATTTTTATCGAATACGTTGCAATATAAAAAAAAAATAAATAAATTGGCAACACAACCAAACATCTATAATCTATTTACAGGAAGATAAAACATTTTAAGCTCTTTAATGTAGGACACCAAATATTACAGATTAAAGTTAATTCAGCAAACAAGCCAAAAAGTTATTGTATTATTGTTCATGATATGTAGTTATTAAAACCTCCAATCAGTTATGCTGGTCCAAACCTGGCAATGGGTGAGGGACGGCTCTGCAAGATGTTTACAGTTTATACATTCATTTCTAATAAGTTGAGACTATTTCTTGCAACCTTTTTATTCTATTTTACCAATTTTAGGCTAAGAAAAAAAAAAGGCACAGTTTTTGAACCCAGTATAATATAACCACCTTATTGTCCAGCAGATGTAACCACTGTAAGTGACTTACGTTTAGCATGCTGGTCACACAGTGCCGATGCCCTCATGTCACACAGACGGATGGTTCCTTTGCTGCTGCTGTAAACAAAAGTGTTACACTGGTCGGGGTGGAACTCTGCTGCCGTGATAACCTCTGTCAGCTCCTCCATATTGGCCGGTTTAATGTCAACAATATCTGAAAAGCAGAGGTTAAGGCCCAAAACAATGGCTGGAAAGAAAATCAAATTGTTAAGCTTTTTAACTACTTCAGCGTCTGGGCATTTTATGTTGAATGGTGACTCCTGGTGGTGATATAAAGTATACCACTCCATTATCACCTGTTTTTTTCCAGCTTGTAAAAAAAAGTTCAAATTATTAAACTGAAATATCCAAATATATATAGAGTCTCAAAAGAACCAGTTTATTTATTGCCTCTGTGAATGTCCAGATTAAATTAAGGACCTGATTAAAGGGTGTTTATAATGTTGAGGACTAAAGGGCCTTTATCCAGCAGCTTAACTTTGAGCTTTCAACTATGTCATAATTCCATTTGTTCATCAAAGTAGTGCACAAAGTGGTATTCCACTTGATTTGTGCGTTTTTGAGTAATCCTCATGAATTTAACGAAAACTAAATTGCATCCGCCCACAAACAGAGTTCAGAACTGAGATCCGACCCGTTATCCGCAAGTATCCCCATTTAAGACCCGCCTGGGACTGCACGGACCATAAATAATAAGGTGCAACCAGACACATGATCCAATGTGTACACAGAGTCGTTTATAATAATAGAGGCAGAAACGAACATTGCCTCACATCCAGTGCTTACAAATTAACAGCTGGAAATAGGCCGAAATAAGAAGGCTTGCCTTCTTATACTGTTATCTGGATATTCTTGAATCAAGTTGTTTTTTTAAGATGTAGAGTTCATAAATAAGAAAATATAAATAGGTTTCATTGATGCTGTAACTCTTTGATACCTGCATTTTGTTCATATATATACCCGTGCCCGTGGATATACGTTTTATACGGCTACCCGACCCGGTGCAGGACTCTGATGTGAGGAAGAAAGAGAAGACTTTCGCTCTTATAAAGCTGACAACAATAATTTGTTTCGTCAGAAGCGGCATAATGCAGATGCTGCAGCTGGTCAAAGGCGACATCATAAAGTAGGCGGCACCCAAATAGAGAATCAGCGTCACAGGCAAGATAAGCGCCTTTTATATGGGTTGGAAAAACAGCACAAGAAAACAACTAGTTTTAATTTGATTAACAAATTAAAGCTCTTTAGTGCCAATGCAATATTTTACTGAATGTAAGCCTATAACTGTCTTATCGGCTCTTTCCACACCATTTAAATCAAACAACTCACATCTTCAGCTGTTTAGAAGAGCTGCTGAAAAATGCATTATGCATTAAATTGTATAATCTTTAAAGTAAGAAGTCAAGTAAGGAGCAGAAGTAGGGCTTCGTTTAACTATGAATCGTTTTAGATGTCATTTCATTGGGGACAGGGTTGGACAATGATTCCTTGCTGCTTATTTAGGTTACAGCAACCAGGATGAAGAAACCAAAAGGATACTGAAGCTGCGATCAGTTATCTCCAGATGCCAGAGGTTTATCCGCAGGTCGTCTGCAGACAGATAGGTCTCATGATCACTGTTGACTGATATGGAGTTGATGTGGTACGTGTGAGCGTTTGCAAACACCCGTCTGGGGCTGGCTTCCACCATCAGGTCCATGGGCCTTAACACCGGTACCTGGAATACACATGTGACCTTAGTGCAAGGGAAACAATTTTTTTTCTTTTATGTGAAATGTAACAGAGCAGCTCCTACACACCCGTAGTGTTGTGACAGTGTTGGGATCTCTGTATCGCCCATCTTCTTCCTTCAAATTGTAGCCCTCTGGTCTCTTGTCACGCTCACTAATTTTCCACAGCTTGATTGTTTTATCTGCCAAGAAAGAGCAGATACCAAAGGATAATGTGCACATATTAGCATGTCTGGAATAAAAGAACAGAAAACATCACAAGATCCTGTCTAAAGCAATTTCAATTATTCAGAAATCAAGTGATTTACTAACCATTTGTGGAAAGAAGGAACTGTGCTGCATTCTTCTGAGGTAACCATCGAATCTTGTTGATCTTCTCTTCAATTTCAAGACTTTTCAGGTAGTCGAACTCAGGCTCATGGCTCTGGAAGGTGCTATAAACATTGTATTCTCCTCTGCACTGTGGCTGGTTTTTGCTCTACATGACAGACAAAAAAGTGTCATGAGGGTGTAACAGGTGGCATCAGTAGGTGTCACTCTCCTTAGCCTGAGCTTCTATAAAAGGGGAAGCAGGAAGGGTAGTAGCCAGAAGTTCACTTCCTGTGTCTGGGAACAGGGGTGTGGTGGATCCATGCTGTTGGCTGGCTGGCTGGGGTATGTTGGGAGGTTAATTGTGTTTTGAGTTTATCCTCTGCAATAAGTTGGTGGTGATTTGGTGTTTTTTACACAGGTCTGCATTATTGGTGTTCTGGCAGTAATTTTACCAGGGTGTGTTATTGTTCAACGCCACAGGTAGGCTTTTAGCTTTTACATTTACTGTTTTAAGTGATGCAGGTAAGCAGTGTTTTAATATTGTTGTACTTTTTTGAATGTTTTAAAGAGCATTTAGTAATTTGTATTTTTGTTTTGACAGGGTTGTAACTGCTTCCTGCTGTCCTTTAAAGTTTGATTTTTTTTCCCCTTTTGGTTATTTTTGTTAGTCCGCTCAGGTTGAATTGTTTGAGTACCTGTGAGGGTGGACTAACAACTTTCCATTTATTTTGTTAGTTTCTTTTCACTTCCTGTATGTTACTATTTCTATTAAAGTTTAGATAGTTGTATTTTATTTATATACAATAAAGATTGGAAAATTAACTCTGCTTCAGTTTTCTTTTCCTCTTGAACACAGCAACCATAAGTCTGTGTCGTGTAGAATTAAATTTGTATTAACAGGAAAAAACCCAATCGGACCTGTAACAAGGGAAAACAAATATATTTAATACAAAATTTTTGTTTTTGTGTCTCGTTTATATTTGCTAAAAATAAAATTCTGACTTTGAAAGATGTTTCTGCCATTGATCTGTCTTGGAAAAGTTTTTACAACCTTGAAATTTTTTACATCACATCACACTGTGGAGGCATCAGGGAAAGAAACACAAAGCATTGCATAATTTGTATGATTAAAAATCTGATTCAGCCATGTTAACTCTATCTAGTTCAACCAATAACCACTAGAACTCAGACTAGTTAACAGAGTCCCTTTGTTTATATTTTAAGATAATACAAATACAACGATTGCTGGAATGTGCAGAGCTCAGTGGAGGGACAGCAAAATGTTAGAACTCATTCATAATGGAGCCCAACTTCCATCAGGCCAGACTGGAAGGATCATACAGGAACCATATGTATGAAGGATGTAATACAAGGTCATAGTTTCTGTACAATCCTGTAAACACAACACTTTGTAATGCCCAAGAGGCAACCCGGCCTGTGCTAATCGGTCCCTGTTGCAATGCAATACAATGGATTGCAAATAGCGTCCTGCCTCAGGAATCAAGAAAACTTGACGTATATAAATAAAAAGTTGGCACCAACATCCTAAATAAATCATATTATTGTTCTGTGGTGCATATGGGACAGCTTGGAGTCAAAAACAGTTCACGTTAGAGTCAGAGATAGGCAACACTTGCAAAAGTAATGTTTAACTTAGTAAAAACTACACAAAAAAATCTGATTACTGAAAAAAATTTGACATTTAGACCTGCGGAAGGAACATAACACAAAAGGCCAAGCAAGTGAAACAAAAATGCAAACAGGCCAGCAGACTTTTGGTGCCTCTGGAGGAGCCAAAAAGATCCACAACTCAGGAGGACAAATTAGTGAGTTGAAGACTGTCACCATACTTAAAATAAAACATGTTTTCTCTATTGTAAAGAAGTTTCTGGTTATAGTTGTTTGAAAAACTAAGACGGACAGGTCAATGCGGCATTAAACCCTCTGCTCCCACAGTACACATTCTTAGACTGTTAAAAAGATTCATCAACAAAATTACTTTAAGCTAGTTTCTTTGATTTTGCAACGAAACCATGGAAAAGTTCAGTTCTACACAATTGTGTTTAAAACAAAACAAAAAAAACAATATTTAAAAGGGAGTATAGGCCTTGAAATTTGTGCAACTATGTCATCTTTTTAATACATTCTGAGTTTTCAAATATTTATTCGTATTATTTTGTGATTTTATTGTTCATCTTTGGTTTGATACTTTTTAATGGCACATTTTATGTATAGATTTTTAATACTAGGGCTAAAAGATTTGTGAATTAATCTATGATAACAACTACTATGAGTTTAAGTGACCCAGCAAAAGTTTAGAACAACATTTAATCAAGAGGTTTTGAGTCCAACTAAACCATTTTTCAAAGGTTTCTCTAAAAAAAAAAAAAAAAAAAAAACACAGAAATGTCAATACCTAAATGGGCAAAACAGGTAGATTACCCCAAAACACTGAAGAAATATACTGACTTCACTTGAAAATGCACAGAACTTTCAGAATTTCTTCATTTTGGCTTCTGCTTAACAAATATGCACTAATTTGGGTTGATGTAAACTTCAAATGAGGCCTTTTTACAGTTGTGGTTGTAAAGAGGAACTGCAAAAAAAGTTCAAGGAGGAAGAATACCTTTCTTGGTGACTATAAATGAACCACATACCTCTGGTTCCTGCTGAAAGATGACAACACGACCTCCTTTGTCCCCAGTAGCAAGGAGCTCCCCAGTGTGATTGAATTCAACAGTAGAGATGATGTCAGCTGTAGAGGTAGTCACAATAATTAGACACAAACAAAACTGTAATGTAATTGATTTTATTTTTTAAGCCAGCTCTTTCTTAATTTCTTTATTTTCTTACTAAAACTAAACTGTATAAAATTACTCAACAGTGGAGTATTTTTTTATCAACTATGATGGTAAAAACTAAATCAAGCATGAAGACACAACATAAAAGTGCAGCATTGACGCACTTGAGTGTAATTTATCTAAATATCAGTGAACACAACTGGAAAAAAAAAATGATTTTCCATTCATGAATGGAGCATTTTAGAATAACAGCTTTTTAAAGCTCAGTGATGTAACTATTAATATCCATTTACAGGCTGGCACTAGCATATCTGAGAAACCCTTAATGAAGACAATAAGTGTTGTTCCAGTGCAGCACACCAAGTGCCAGATACGACCCGACTCCGTGCAAAGCATTGTGTACAACAAAAAGAGGCTGGAAGAAGGAGACAAATCTTTGCAGGGTTTAAATACCTACGACTGTAGTGTCTGTGCAGTAAAAGCTGTCATGCATTGACACAAGGAGAAGCTCTCATATGTTCTTGCTTTCAGTAACGGCTTACCATAAACAACTATTGCTCCTTTGTTAGCTAAGTACTGAACACACACATATATAAACACTTCTTTTCTGTATGCATTAAAGGGGATGAGAAATGACAAAAGAAGCTAAACCTACATTGAAAAGATTAAAATCTGCTTGGCTATAAAGTAAGAGGGCAAAGCATGAAAAAAAAAAACATGCAAACAGTATTAAATAATTTTAAATCTAATTTGAATCTGGATCTCTTGGACAAACAGATTAAAGGGATCATGGACGTCTGTAACTACTAGACCTTAAGAAAGTGTCCCTTTGAAGGAAACATAACTATCCTTCTTCAACATTTTGTAAATCCAAGTATAAATGTTAAACTGTTACATCAAAGACTGTTTATGATCATTAATCTCCCCACTTATTGAAAAGACACATACTCAGGACACAGGAGTGCAGCTATACCAACAATTACCTTTTGTTATATTTGTAATACTACTACAATCTCCATAGATTGTGGATTAGTAGGAAAAAAGCGCCTTCTAAAGATGTAATACCATAGTTTGAAAGAAAAGTAACATATATGCATGCAAGTATAAATATTAGGCACATCTGTGCAACCAGAGCAAAAAAGTTAGATTGGAGTTACTCTACGAAGAATAAAAAATACTTAAAATAAATAGTTTGATTGCATTTTTTTGTATGAAATACGTTGCTTCTGTTATTATAATAACCTTCAGGAAATATGTATGTTACAGGATTGCAATGTGCTGGGAGGAAATGTGCGTAAAAATGGGCCCACATGTAAGTGCAGGGAGACAAACTGGAAGCATAATTTTAAATACATAAGGGACTAAAGCGCTTACCTTCAGCCACATCGTCATCCATCGCTCCTTTGACTTGAGAGAAGCACCACTGCACATCACCGCTTCCACCACCGGGCCCTGCACACAGCACCAACACAAGTTTTGACACAGCATCGCCATAGGAAACACATCCTGAACAGTTAGAAGCTAATACAAGGCACCACGACAACAAGGTCGTTTGTGACTTGGCACAAACTGAACACCAAAAGTTCAGAGGCAATATCATCCTAGACAAGAAGTTGGGATATGTGTGGTTAGCTCACTTTGAAGCTGTTAGGAATCACACGGGATCTCGCACTAGCCTAGCTTGCTAGTTAGCTTCCTGCTATGGTTTACCACAACAGATGGACATTAAAGCAGCATATGTGCGAATAAGCATGATGATTAGTAAGAATGGCTCATACGTACGTTCTGACAGTTTTCTTTTACCTGCCATGGTGAGGGAATGGGCTCTCCGTAGCAGGTTCAGGCCCTGTACTGAAGCAGTGCTGCTGACCCGGGTCGGTTGGGCTAGTTCTGACCGAGCAGCAGTGGAGGAATGAGGCTGTTAATAACTCCAAATGCCCTCGGTCTGGAGGGTACTGTAAACGCGAAGCTACTTTCCCCCCTTTGTTTTAACAAGAAAAAACAACGCACAACGTATAGTACTGGTTTGAAGACTTTGTACTTCACTTCAAGATTTCCCTCGCATCTACCTCCTCCAAGCTTTACACTTTCAAAATGGCGCTACGCGAGCCGCGCTCGGCAGGAATTAGGAAGCAGACGGCACCCCACTCATTTTAAATCAAAGCCTTAGCAAAGGATGCCCCACTCAAGGCAGAATTTCCAAAATGCAACTAATAATAGTTTTGTTACAATTTTAATTGTTTATAACAAAAAGTTCACAAGACATTCTTATTTAAACAACATTATTAATAATCCCCGCCCTTGTAAACTATGCCGTTAACAAAATCGAACTAACCTTCTGCACACGCTCGAACCGTTAAACTGTTGTAAAGTTTAGTTCACTGAATTCGACTTCATTAGATATACTTGGAACTTCCAATTATATTAATTGCAGAATGAAGTTTATCAGCTATAATCTGGGAATAAAACGTATTGTTTTTAATTGAATGTGTATCGTCAGATTGTATTAGAATATATAGTGATTTCATTGGAGTTTAGTTCTTATGATGCACAACGTGTGAACACTTCTGTTGACCGGTATGCAGACTTTTTAATGCAGCTGCAGAGAATAGGAATTTTTCTGAAGCAGCATCATGTCACAAAATAAAGAAATCCACAAAATAAAAATAAAAAATAGAAATCCCACACACTACTATTTAATACTTTACCAAAAAAAAAAAGAAACACACAGTTTGATGCATTAAAACTAGTTTTCCTTTATAACAATCATATGAATATAATAAACGCTTAAGGTTGGGGCATATAGAGGGAAGTAATGCCTTTGAAGCATCACAAATACTCCTTAGTTACATACCAGACCCACTTAATGCATTTTTCGCTCAAAATATTACTTTCATCATTCTCTCAATTTTTTATTTAGATCAGAAAACACTAAATGTTGCTTACCTTATAAAATCATCAGACATTAAAACAGCATGGCCTACTAACCTGAAGATGTAATTTTTTTCTGCAGCTCTTTAAAACTTGGGTTTAGATAAATATAGGTGTTCCTTGAACAGAGTGACGAGGGACAAAAAATAGACCCTCTGTTTTGTATTTGTACCAAAAAATAAAAATAAAAAAATTCAAATTATGTTATTGACTTCAATAGAAAAGGAATTGGGACACAAAAAGGCTACTGAATTCTGACTTTATTCTTTGAATTTTGACCTTAATCCTAGAATTCTTACTTTAAATCTCAATCAAATGTTAAATTACTGAGCAATCTATCGCCAAAGCCCAGGATTGACAATATGATAAGGTAGGAATATTATAAGTAGTCATAATTTTATAAGAATACTTTAGAGATTAAGGTCAGAATTCTGTGACAAAAGTGAGAATTTGTAAAAATTCTAAGATTAAAGTCACAATTCGGATTACTTATAGCGCCAATTCACAAAACATATAATCTCAAGGTGCTTTACAGAGACAGTTTAACCAGGTCATACAATCAGATTGTTTCAAAGTTTTGTATCTAAGGAAAACCGGCTGATTGCACCGACTCATGATTTGACAGAAATCCCTCACACTGAGCATGCATGGAGTGACAGTGAAGAGGAAAGACTTGCTAAAATAAAGTTAGAATTCAGAGATTTTAATCTAAATCCTGAGATTAAAGTCAGAAATCAATACTATTTCTTGTTTTATTGAATGCTTTAAACTGAAAGCATTATGATTGTTAAGGAGATAATTAATGGACCTCAATACTGGGTCTGTTTTGTTTTTTAGTACAGCTTGTTCCTATGGGAAAGGAAGCCTGGATGGGACCATCATCCACTTTGCTGAGATACTAAGAAAAACCATCTGGTTTAAAAGGGTTGCATTGTTGCGTCTGGTGTCTGTCATATTCTTCATGACAAAACTCTGCAAGTTCTGCAAATTTGCTGACTAACCGAGCACAAAACAGCATGACCATTAAAGCTGGTGTTGGTACCACTGATAATATGGGCAGAAGCAGCATCTCCATAAAGCTTGTAGGAGAAGAAGGACATTACATGGCTTGAAATATATTGTTGGACTTCAGAACCATCCATCCATCCGTCCCTCCATCTGTCCTTCCTTCTACCCATCGATCCATCATACCCACTTCTCTGTGGGGTTGTGAGGATGTTGATTTATCAATAAGTTATTTCTAGAAGCCCTGTTTTAAAAACCAATGGAAACAATTCGTTTCAACAGATTGTCAGGAAAACATTTTAAGTTCAGTAACCTTTTGCATTTAAAGGCTTCTCTGTCGCTTCTTTTATTGTAACCTCTTTGTAATTCAGTATTTTCACATTTGATTCTAACAAGTATTATGGTTTCAGAAACAACCTCTTAGATGTTGCTGCATTTTGAAGACCTAATTTGAAAAAGAAAAAAAAAGACAAATTTATTAGAAACATATAAAATATCTATTCACAACCATAGAAACATGTTTAATAGCATCCATTGAAGCTGTCATACAATACATGAATTATAAATTGCAAATGTGATCTCAACATTAACAATCATACATTACGTTGAAGCTGTAAAGGCCAGTTTAAAAAAAATACACAAAACAGAGTCCAAATTAGACATAGAGGAGGAAAATATCACAAATCCTTTTGGCTCTTTCTCTTATTTTCTAGCAACTGCAATAAACATTGACTCCCAGGAGGGCTGGTTCAATCAGTCTCAGCTCTAATTCCAAAAAGAAGACCATTCTTCTTTTTTCTCCTTTCACTTTCCCAATATAAAGTAAGTGGTCCACCTGGCCAGAAGCAAAGCACCAAATATCACTGTGTAGCTGAGGAGAACAAATTTGAGGACTTGTTTGAGTGTCCGAAGGAATCGCATGAACAGAGGTTCCACATCCAGGGGCTTGATCTTCTCATCTCGATTCATCCTGCAACACATATTTTATCATAAGGGAAAAAAACATCTTCAAAGGATCATGGAACATCTTGGAGGTCATAACATCAGAAAACAAAATAATTTACCAGAAAACTCCATGATAAATACAGTAGTACATACATTAATACACATTTCATTTAAAACTTTATACATTTCCAGACTCAAACTCCTGGATGTTTGAGTCATCTTTTAATAATTATAGCTTTTGTTTATCCTCTTGATATCCACCTTATTTTGGGAAATTCTCACCTATTTTGCATACCCAAATGGAAAAGCCATTAACTTAGGAACTGTAAGCTCAAATTAAATGTATGAGACATTATTTGAAAACTAACACCTTCTAGTTGGTGGACAGTGAATATATACATGAAAAACGAGTGAGTAAAATACAGCCCAAGCTGCATCACTTCAAACATGACTCAAAGTTGTTGTTTTTTTATTCTTGAAAATAATAGGTCTGTTTTGAACAGCAGTTATAAAGACATGCTTGCTTGTTTTGGCCGTTTTGTCATGTTTACATTTTGACATGTTGCTATATCTGTGGTAATTGTGCTTTGGTGCTTTCTGTGTCCATAAAATGAACTTGGTGGTTGAATTGTGGAGAATCTAAGCTTTCCAACAATGTCTAACATGTCTGTAGTGGTAAACATTTTACTGGTGTAATTTTCATGCATTCTGAGTTATTAATTTTAACCGCTGGTGACCCTGTGGGTTTTGAGAAGATATGCACAGAAATTAAACTTAATCATACTGATTCCTACAAAGATGTAAATTTCAATATTCTGACAAAGAAAGATAAAATTCACTTTGTGCTAAATTCATTTTAATTAAGCTGTTTTTTTTTAACAAATTTAATTTAATTTTAGTGACTTGATGCATTACAATGGCGTGTTAATGATGTGGTTGTGAGAGTAAACATATGTTCATAATATATTCATCTTGTTTGTGAAAATGTAGCCTACCTAACAGGAGGAATTAACCATCCTGACAAATAGAGCTTTGACAGATTTGAGCCTGATGTTTTGTTTAATGACGTTTTCATACATTGTGAAGTTTCCTCTGCATTGTTTTTATGCTTTTTTATAGTGACACTACCTTTTTCTAACAAGCTTTTACATAGCTGCATGATTTTCTGAACCTTTTAGTACAAAACATTAGCATTTTTTTGAAGGTTTGACTGTTCTTAAAATGATGCTGAAGTTCTGCTTGGGCAGTTTTACACAGACTAGCTTCTTTGTTTATGTAGCATCGGGAACTTGTTAAAGCCAGTTTAGTTAGGAATAATTAAAATATTTATTAAAGATATTGGATTTCTGATGTCTGATGCTTTTATTCTGACTTTCAGAGTATAAAATTACAATTTAAATTCTTGGTTTGGGATCTAACCCTCCAAAATTCATCCATGGTTTTAGACGAAGCAAGCAGCAGTGAAAAGGTCCCAGGTTTAAATCCTCACCTGGGGTCTTTCAACTTGAACCTGGCACTTTTTTAAACTCCCGCTCATGGTGAAAAAACATACACTTACTGATAAGCCACAGTTTCCAAAAAATAAATAAGGATGGCTGAAATAATTAATCCCTTTAATGATGCAGTAAATCATTGACGGTGTAAATGATTGATGGTGTAAATATTAAATACAAATAGCAGTCCTCTAAGCACCAACTCCCCTGCAGTTGGTGGGCCCACTGGGGGAATAGCTTGAGTCATCCCTTAGGGCTTGGCCTGGCTAGGTCCCGCAAGGAAGAAGCCCACCACCAAACAATCATCAAATAACTCCGGACCTTGCTCCAGGGTGAGGTCCCGCCTCCATGTTACCAGGCAATATCACATTTCGACCAGGATGAGAATCAGCTCCCCCAAGTCCAAGGCCATGGTTCTCAATCTGAAAATTGGAGTTCATTGATCTGTTGTGTTGGTTTACCTTCCGAGCCTAAACTATGGTAATAAAATCTGGATCAAGACTGAAAGAGATCCCAGATAAGGGGTGGCAAGGCACTCCCTTAGAGATAGGGTGAAGAGCTCAGGGGGCTGTGAGAGGCTTGGGAGTAGAGCCATTTCCCCTCCACATCGAGAGAATGCCGCAACCTAGTCCTGGATAAAGCAAAAGACAGCCACAATATATTTTCGAAGTTTAGGGTTATGGCCTTCAGCTGCTCAGCTGTCTGTAGGTGTTCAGTTAGTTTCTTT